TGACGGCTCACGGCTTCGCCGCCGGTCAGTACCGTTGCGATTACTGCCCTAGAGCCTTCGCCTGGCGACCGAACCTCATCCAGCATAAGACGGTACACGGAGAGTACAAGCGGTACCCGTGTGAGAACTGCCCGCGGGTCTTCACCGACGCCATGGTGCTGCAGAAGCACATACGCAACCAACACGCGGGGGCTCGATCTCACGCATGCCCGGAGTGCGGGAAGACCTTCGCCACTAGCTCAGGACTCAAGCAACACACGCACATACACTCGTCCGTGAAGCCCTTCCAGTGCGAGGTGTGCTTCAAGGCGTACACGCAGTTCAGTAACCTGTGCCGCCACAAGCGCATGCACGCCGACTGTCGCCTACAGATCAAATGCACCAAGTGCGGACAGGCGTTCTCGACGGTGACGTCGCTGGCGAAGCACAAGAGATTCTGTGACACAGCGCCGTCATTGTCGTTGCCCCCAGGACCGCCCTCCATGCACGACAACAAGCAGTCTCATACCGGCTTGTCCATGAGCAACGTATCCTCCTCGCCACCTAATCCCTTCATGATGTATCCACGGCCACCACTGCCCCTTCTTCCGCCCTCGCTGCTCTCAGGATACCCTATGTTCCCTTCCTTGCCCTCCCTGGTGGGTGGACCCCAACACCCGCTTCTAACCTCATCTCTCCTCCTGCCCTTCCAGAATACCAGTTCCCGTGAGCAACCCTTCTCGATTCCTAAAGAGGAGAAGGAGTCTAACGACCTGGGTTGTCGCATGCAAATATCTCCCCGACCTGATTCCACAGAGTCTGCAAGCAGAGAACCCGCGTCTCTGCAGCCCCCGACCCGACTCTCTCCATCACACTCACCCAAACAAGCGTCGGTGTTCCCTATGAGAGAGTCGCCGCGCAGATCAGAGCCCAACGATGTTTCCGACGAACACAGGGAACTTCCAGAGTTCCGGAGGAGGACACCAGAGCCGCCGAAGAAGGAGGTGAGCGCAGAGTCAACTCGAGGACCTCCAGAGAGGAAAGAACAGCCTCTGGACTTGACCCTCAGGCGCAAAGAAGGCGAAAAAGACGAACTTTTTCTCGGCAGGTTTGATATCCTCTCCCACAGTAGCGATTCCATGGAAGAAAGGCTCCGCTCTCCAGCGCCTGCTGAGGTTAAGTCAGTAGAGGAGCCGAGACCTCGCCCCGACCACCCATTCCTGCGCATCAGTGAACTATTGAAGGATACCACAACCTCCTCCGCTGCACCACCTCCACCTCAGCCACCCTCGTTACTAGACACGCCGACTAAACTGCCACTGGCATATCCTCGACCTCTACACCCGGCAGCTCTCCTCGATATGTACCGCACTCTTGACCGCAGCTTAGACCGCAGTCCGTTAATACCTGGGGGAGGTCTGGCGGGCAGCCGCTACCCTATGCTGCCGCCCTACTTCCCTCCCACCAGCATGGCCGGTATGGGCCTCGGTCTCAACCGCACTACAGGTCTTGATATGCTGAAGGCTCATATGTCCAACGCTGGACGCCCATACGGGGACATCAGTCGCCCGTATGACCTGATGGCGTCTCACATGCCCCGCGCTAAAGATCGCTACTCCTGTAAGTTCTGCGGCAAAGTGTTCCCGCGGTCGGCCAACTTGACCCGTCACCTGCGGACTCACACAGGTGAGCAGCCCTACAAGTGTAAGTACTGCGAGCGTTCCTTCAGCATCTCGTCCAACTTGCAGCGTCACGTGCGTAATATACACAACAAGGAGAAGCCCTTCAAGTGTCCGCTGTGTGACCGCTGCTTCGGCCAGCAGACCAACCTCGACCGACACCTCAAGAAACACGAACTGGAAGGTCCCAACCCCCCGGACTCTCCAGAGGCTCCGGACTCCAGCAGCTCCACCGTCGACACGTCGACCAACTACTTCAGCGACGAGATTCGTTCTTTCGTCGACAAAGTGACGGATTCAACCACAGACGATGTTGTCGGAGACGATGAAGCGATGGACGAGGACATTGACAAGGACCACATCGACGTGACGACTTCGAATGAAGATGTGGTGAGCTCAGAGTGCACACCCAAGAGGGTACGAGTGGAGTAGCAGCACAATAACAAGAACAAGCTTGTTCTTCAGTGGTATCATGCCGCAAAAGCCAAATAAAGAGAGTCCAGGATACCCCCACTCATAGAGATGCAGGGGAGTGTAAATGTTTACCATTAACGATCCAGAAATAAACTACTCAAGCTAACCTCATTAATGGCTGACTGGGCCCTTACCTGTCAGGGCGATTAGCAGGACCCTCCCTGTCAGTGTAACTAGCAGGGCCCTCCCTGTCAGTGTAACTAGCAGGACCCTCCCTGTCAGTGTAACTAGCAGGGCCCTCCCTGTCAGTGTAACTAGCAGGGCCCTCCCTGTCAGTGTAACTAGCAGGGCCCTCCCTGTCAGGATAACTGGACTTGCCTCTAACAGTGACTGGCTGTAACTACTCCTTCATGGTGGACGATGCAGCCTCTGCAGACGACTATTGAAGGGGAGTTGTTTTTCCCAAAATACGAAAGGAATCCAAATTTCCTCTACGTTCAATTACAACCCAGTAAATCCCGGTTAATATATATATATATATATATATATATATATATATATATATATATATATATATATATATATATATATATATATATATATATATATATATATATATATAATTTGTCATCATCAGTAAAGAAATTATTTATTTGGACTGAAGAAAAATAAAGACAGACTCTCCAGTGTTTTCCTCAGTATAAAACTACAGAAAAAAAGTACTGAAATTAAAAGAAATTTTTAGCGTTAATGTTTCCGATTACCAAAGATCAAAACATATTTTTTTTCCGAGAAAAATAAAAGAAAAAAATGGAGGCTCCCAGGAATCCCCCAGGATGCATTTCTTCCCCCTCCTCCTCCTCCATCAAGACAAACCAAACAAAAACCAGAGTACTGATCAATCGTTTTTAAAAACCAAATAAAAAAATAAAGAAGAGAAGGAAGAGAGAGAGAGAGAGAGAGAGAGAGAGAGAGAGAGAGAGAGAGAGAGAGAGAGGATAAAATTAAAAGTAAAAAAAAAAAATGGGGGTTGGGGTCTCATTTTTCCAAAAAATGTTTTTAGGAAAGAAAATAATATATATATACGGGGTTACCTCATTTTTTTTTTTTAAATATGGTTGCCATGTCTGACCCTTTTTCCTGCCTATCGTAAGAGAGAGTTCCACCCCAGTAATACTGTAATAGTCGTGTTGAGACACTAGGTTTGAGTCGTGTGCAATGGACGAGTTCTTCTTTTGTTTCTAACCTCTATGGTAGTCTGCTATATGTAAATAACTCGTTGATATATTATATTTTGTTAATAAAAGATAATGAACTGTTATTGTGCCTTTTATTTTATTTTTTTTTTTTTTTTTTTTTTTTTGGGTGTGGGGAGGAAGGTTTGTATTTCTGTTGATTGTTACTTGGAGACGTTATTGTAACGTTCCTCTAACCTTCAGGAACAATCAGATGGATCACTCCCACCATAACTAACTTTCAACCATATTCAAGGCTACCATAACGACTTACCCTCAACCACAATTATCATTACCACAACTAACATTCAACCACAATCATCACTACCACAACTAACATTCAACCACAATCATCACTACCACAACTAACATTCTACCACATTCATCACTACCACAACTAATCTTCAACCACAATCATCACTACCACAATTAACCTTCAACCACAATCACTACCACAACTAACATTCAACCACAATCATCACTACCACAACTAACATTCAACCACAATCATCACTACCACAACTAACATTCAACCACAATCATCACTACCACAACTAACCTTCAACTACAATCATCACTACCACAACTAACCTTCAACCACAATCATCACTACCACAACTAACCTTCAACCACAATCATCACTACCACAACTAACCTTCAACCACAATCATCACTACCACAAGTAACTTTCAACCACAATCATCACTACCACAACTAACCTTCAACCACAATCATCACTACCACAACTAACATTCAACCACAATCATCACTACCACAACTAACCTTCAACCACAATCATCACTACCACAACTAACTTCTACCATATTCATCACTACCACAACTAACATTCAACCACAATCATCACTACCACAACTAACATTCAACCACAATCATCACTACCACAACTAACCTTCAACTACAATCATCACTACCACAACTAACATTCAACCACAATCATCACTACCACAACTAACCTTCAACCACAATCATCACTACCACAACTAACCTTCAACCACAATCATCACTACCACAACTAACATTCAACCACAATCATCACTACCACAACTAACCTTCAACCACAATCATCACTACCACAACTAACATTCAACCACAATCATCACTACCACAACTAACATTCAACCACAATCATCACTACCACAACTAACATTCAACCACAATCATCACTACCACAACTAACCTTCAACTACAATCATCACTACCACAACTAACCTTCAACCACAATCATCACTACCACAACTAACCTTCAACCACAATCATCACTACCACAACTAACCTTCAACCACAATCATCACTACCACAAGTAACTTTCAACCACAATCATCACTACCACAACTAACCTTCAACCACAATCATCACTACCACAACTAACATTCTACCATATTCATCACTACCACAACTAACATTCTACCATATTCATCACTACCACAACTAACATTCAACCACAATCATCACTACCACAACTAACCTTCAACCACAATCATCACTACCACAACTAACCTTCAACCACAATCATCACTACCACAAGTAACTTTCAACCACAATCATCACTACCACAACTAACCTTCAACCACAAATCATCACTACCACAAGTAACTTTCAACCACAATCATCACTACCACAACTAACCTTCAACCACAATCATCACTACCACAACTAACCTTCAACCACAATCATCACTACCACAACTAACCTTCAACCACAATCATCACTACCACAACTAACATTCAACCACAATCATCACTACCATAACTAATCCTCAATCACAACCTCCACCCCAACCATATTCCCCATCCCCCCACCACCTAACCTTCACATCTCATCATATCTCACGGCCTGGTCTTGGACCAGGCCGGGGGGGCGTTGACCCCCTAAACACTCTCCAGGTATACTCAGTTATCAATTACTCCTACCAACGCCACCCTTCATCTACAACCCCATCACCTACTCACCCTCAACCCCCATCACTCATCACTTATACTTACCCGTTTCTTAGCTGTGGTATGGTAGATACTCTGAGGAATATATTCTCCGTCAGCGAGGCAACGCTGAGCTATCAACGCCTCAAAGCTAATCTATCAATGCCTCAACGCTAATCTATCAACGGTTCAACGCTAATCTATCAACGCTTCAACACTAATCTGTAAACGCCTCAACGCTTATCTATCAGTGCCTCAACGCTAGTCTATCAACGCCTCAACGCTAATCTATCAACTGTTCAACGCTAATCTATCAACGGTTCAACGCTGATCTATCAACGCCTCTCAATATAATTTAACTAGGATATGAAAACCAATAAATTCACTTGTAAAATAAACTGAATTCAATACATTAAGATGTGCATATGCACCTCTCGGTGTATGTTCTATGTATATACACCGAGAGGTGCATATCTCTCCGTGAATATACGCTGACAGGTGTATATCGCAGTAGTAGTAGTAGTGGTAATAGTAGTATTAGTAGTAGCAGCAGTAGTTGTAGTAGTAGTAGAGGTGGTAATAGTAGTAATAGTGGTAATAGTAGTAGTAGTGGTAATAGTAGTAGTAGTATTAGTAATAATAGTAGTAGTAGTAGTAGTGCTAATAGTAGCAGTAGTAGTAGTAGTAGTGGTGGTAATAGTAGTAGTAGTTATAGTAGTAGTAGTGGTGGTAATAGTAGTAGTAGTAGTAATAGTAGTAGTGGTGGTAACAGTAGTAGTAGTAGTAGTAATAGTAGTAGCAGTCGTAGTAACGTAATCCAGGCAACAAACACCTTGGCTGCTATCACTGTCTTAAGAAAGATAGCAGGGAGGATTACTGTAGTTTGAAATAACGTTGAGACAGATAACGAGAAAGCTCCCGCTATCACTCCTTAGTCACTTCTCAAGGTGATGGCAGAGAGACACTTAGAGATAATGAATAAGAAGAGAAAGAATGGAATAAGATACATTGTTTCTATTCTCTCGTGAGATATACGCTACAGATTTATGTTTTCAGAGGTATGGCATCTCTAGAAACAGTAAAAACTTTTCAAGGAAGGCTACTGGTGAGGTGTGTAAGGGTCGTGACGGTTCGAGAAGCCGTATACATCCGTAAAGAATGAAGTGAGTTGTTGATGTTGTGTGTAAAGGTCTATACGGCTCCAGGAGCTGTACAGACCCTTCAACACTATTATTGTTTTTTTTTGTTGTGCTTAATGGTGGCAGGAACTCGGGCAGTCGCATAACCCCCTTAGAGGAGAGTAAGTACAAAAAAAAAAACTTCTGTTAGTTTATAGACAGTGGTTCGACAACAACACACCCTCAACGAGTCATCCCCACCACAACAACACACCAGCAGCAGCCAGCAGCCAGCAGCCAAGCCGCCAGCAGCCAGGTAGCCAGCAGCCACGTAGCCAGCAGCCAGCAGCCAGGCAGCCAGCAGCCAAGCCGCCAGCAGCCAGGTAGCCAGCAGCCAGGCAACCAGCAGCCAGGCAGCCAGCAACCAGCTATGACAACATGGTACAACAGCTGATTTGTGTCATAATGGCAGATGTTGAATGAGTCAACTCAATTTTCCTAACAATCCAGGATAAATATTTGAGAGGCATTTTTGTCATACGCCATAAAAGCCATTCTATGTTTTTTTTTGACTCGATTTGGAAAATCTTCACAGCTGGAGAAACAGTATGAATGCTTGTGTGTAGTTGACTATTCGAAATTGGATACGAATAGGTACGAAAATAGAAATTTGAGGTCAAATTGATACGTCTTTCCTCTGGTTTCATCTACCAATTACATCTAAAAAATATATATATCTTTTATATAGGCTGTTCTGTACTGCTTCTTTGGTAATTAAAGATGATTATGTCATTGTTCTTATGTCATTGTTTCAACGCTGTTTTATGACTTTCTACGTCGTTATCGTGTTTCCTCTCTCTCACCGTCATCTAAAATGACTCGCTCTACCTTCAGTATTTTTCCTCGTCATTTTTTTTTATGAAAAATATTTTATTTATGTCTAGGAATTTTCCATAGTCCTTGTTCCAGTTAGTTTGTTCCATTCTTTTGTTCCATTCTTTTGTTCCACTTTTCTTGATAATATCTTACAACATAATTCTTGATTTCGTTATTAATATACTGTACCTGGAGGTTACCTGGAGGTTATTCCGGGGATCAACGCCCCCGCGGCCCGGTCCATGACCAGGCCTCCCGATGGATCAGGGCCTGATCAACTAGGCTGTTACTGCTGGCCGCACGCAGTCCGACGTACGAGCCACAGCCCGGCTGATCCGGTGATTTTTTTTTTACTCTCCGAGTCTTATTAACCACACC